GATTAAATAGCTAATTAATCAATAGAATTATTTAAATTAATATAATTTTCTAATAAAAATATTAAAAAATAAAATAAAATAATTAAATAAACTTATTATTTAATAGATGTAAGGTCTAAATTCTATTATTTTAAATATAACAAGATTCAAAAATTAACAAATTTGAGTGTTTTTTTCAAACTCAAATTTGATTCAAGAAGCATTCAAAAATCACTTTGAATTATTATCCAATTGTTTAATCTCTTAAAAAATAAATTAAGTATTAATCTAAAAATAGTTTTTATATTGAAGCTAATAAGTTGTAGTTAAAATTTATGTTAAGAAGAATTTTGCACCAACTACTAATTTAGATTGAATTACAACTCAATTTTATTAGAAACAATAGAAAATAAATTTAGATTAAATAAATAAAGAAAAAAATAGTAATTTAAAAAATGAGCTATATTCATAATTATTTTAAATAATTTTATAATAATAATAACAACAACAACAACAACAATAACAATCATGTATTATACTTAGTACTTGGTATTATATTTCTTCTAGTCATTAGCATTGGTGGTTACTTATACTACTTTAATTAATTGTTGGTACTAGCCATCTTTTTATTACTGGCTGTATATTCTTTTAATCTAACCTATTCTAATCCAAACTTTAAAACATTTGGTTTATGTTAGGATCTAAGATCTCCAACCTACCTTCTATTAGTTTAAACCCTATTAGTTTGGTTTTTGTATTGTTTGGGTATCTTTGACCTATGTTTTAGTATTTGGGCCTTATCAGTTTTGATCTTTGTATTAAATTATCCTTAATATAAAAGTGTATATATGTAAGTTATAATTTTTAGTTTTATTTGTATAAACACCATAAAACTTTCTAAGAAGATTTATCATTTTTTTAAGATATTATATATTTAGTTCAAAGTTTAAATAAATAAATGTATTTTTTTTTAGAATATTAATATTTCAAAAACTAAAAGTTGATATAGAAGACATTCTAATAAAAAAAGCTATTGAATGTAATGGATAAATATAAAAACTATCAAAAAGTAATAGGAAACAACTTCCTTGATAAAATCAACAAATCTATTGCAAACAATTTATTCTCTCAAATTATAATTAGAAATAAAGTTGTTCATTTGCACAAAAATAATACATAAAAAATAAAAGAAATTAGAGACTTAAATATTTAAGAAGCATGGCATACAAAACTTATAATAAAGCTTTCTAAAAATATTTACAAGAAGCTCTAATAGATATTGTTCATACAAACCAATTGATTGTTTTGATTCATATCTATGTAATCTAAGGAATTGTTTACTAGGTCAAATCTTCAAGATAATCTCTATTATTTTTGAAATTAAAATTTTAAAGACACATTACAAGACTTTTTTGAAATATTCATTTTCTACACTGCAAAAGATTAGAATTTGCCTATCAATTCACTCAAATGGTACAAATAATATTCAAAAATACAAAATAATTGTTGAAAAAATTAAAATTGAGAGAAAAGTATAACAAAAGCATTATTTCATATTCATATTAATTTATTATCTTTAGAGAATTTTTAAATATTCCTATTTAAGATGAAATGAAAATAAATAAAATAAAAATACCTTCCTATCAAGAGGTTTGAATCAACAAAGATGAAGTCATTATCGAGATGAGTTAAAATTAATAATTAAAAAAGAAAAAAGAAATATGGTTAACTTGGTTATAATTCTCTATGTATTTTGACATGCTTTAAGAGCTGAAATTGATTGATCCAAATCCATTATCCATTAGCAATACAAACATGCAAATAATATAATAAAAAAAACTAATTTTGAACGGACTTGGATATCTTTACAAAATATTAGTAAGTTCTATAGAATTATTATAGACTATTTATTTAAACTAAAAAATTTAATAACTTCCAAATAGATAGAATAAAATAAAAGCTAGATTATATTTGTATTTAATAAACTTAACATTAATATTTTCTATCATTAATATACTTCTTTAAGCTAATCTAAGCAAACTCTTAATTGAAATCTATAAAATGATAACAATGCTTATGAATTTTTTATAGAGAAGTATATAATTTTTTAATTAAGACCAATGTTGAATGGCAAATATTGGTGGATTGAGCATTTTTAAATAGTTAATAAAACAAAAAAAACGAAACAAAATAAATAAAATAAAATAATAAAAACAATAATCAATGAAGGCAATTAGAGCTTTCTTACTTGCGAATTCAAATGTTTAAAAATTGTGAAGTATAGATTAATGGTACCTAACAAAATATGCTATATAAATAGAAGCTAAATTTTAAATGGTCTCTAATTGCTAACAAAAAATATAAATATAAACAAAAAAATTTAATGGATGTAGTTTAGATAAAAAATAAATAAATAAATAAAATATCAGTTTTTTTTATAAAAACTTGAAATTCGCTTCTTTATTTTATGAAGTTTAAAACGTACTCCTTTAGTAGGATCCTTACTATCTATTTATTAACTTACAAATTATTTGAAAATAGCACATTGACCTACCAAAGTTAAGATGTATTAATCTAAATCCAAATTTGTAATCTTCACTATGATCTAATTTTATCCTAAGCCTTAGAAATTAGAACAGACAACTTTAATATAACCAAGCCCATTTAATGTAGGACATTTCGTTGACAGGTAGGACATTGTCCTACCTAATTGCCCTTCTAATACAGAACAATTAAAACATCTACAATCTAATCTGAGATAGTAACAAGTAATTATTGAGCTTTAAATGCAAGCTTGCCTGCATTTAAGAATTGCAATTTAAGAAATAAATAAAATGAATAAATATTACAGACTAGCAAAATGTGTTGAACTTGCTCCACCCCATGTTCAGATAAAACGTGTGCAGAAATCAAATTTTCTCAAGTTCTGTGACAAAACTCATCTACATCAATCAATCAGTCATAAAGTTCAAACATCATTGAAAAAATTAAACAATAAGTTTAAAAAAACCATGTATTAGTCGATTAATGAAAACGAATATCTTTTGAATAATTAGTTAGAAGAAATGTATATTAGAAAAAGACAGCTATCATGAAGATTTATTTCATAAATATGAAAACGAACAAAAAAACCATCCTGACCTTGGACAAATGCCAAATAATACACAAGTTGCGCTCAGAAATACCATACAAAAGAATTCGCAGAAATTCAAACTGTCTATTTCAAAGAACAAAATCATATCCAAGCACGTCAAACCACAACCCAAAACCCAACCAATGCAAAACATCAACAAATGTAAACAAGCTGGAAGACCGAAACACTAGGTGCAAGGGTAACAGCGGAAACAAAGAAAATCAAAAGCGAAAGGCCATGTATTTCACTTCAAAAGCCTATTAGTTAAGCGGGAAAATTTCCGTTGAACACTAAGTTGATAAATTTAACATTAATCTACTCGTAGATCGACACAACCAAGGTGTGACAGCTAAATTCATCAGAAAGACTACGCGAAATGCAAAAGACATCACGCAACTCAGAACCATATTCAGAGGAATAAAATATTCAAATTACAAAAATCTGCCCCCATTTCTTGAGCTCTATAATAGCGCTGAGGGGCTCACTGCACAATGTCGAAAAGAAAATCGTAACACAAATCAAAAATATCTTTACCAAGATAGGAGGCGATCGAATAGGAACTACTGGTGGAGCAGTGAGAAGGGGTCATCGCACTAGAGATCAAATAAACCAAGACCCTGAGCACAGCAGATTCACCCCATGGAAACAAAACCAGGCAAAACTACGAAACCGAGAAGCAATCACTAACTACAGAAGTCAATCAAGCTGACCCATAAAACAGAGAACAAAATCTGATTGAATCTTCTCAATCAAACCTCCATATCAACGGTCTTCATTTAACTTCCGGTGAGCTGCACTCCACATTAAATCGCGTCCCCCGTGCCAAAATCCTGCTCAATTTCCTCGCAGCCATAAGACTTGCACGTGCCGCCTGTACTCCTCTGAATAAAAATCTACGCCCGATGCATCTCGGTAACCCGAACAAAGCAGAGGCCCGCAATAACACATCCGCACCTGTTCCGTCTGACCTCCATGTGCACGCAGCTCGCCCAGAACTCCCGTACACCCTTCTCACAACCCTACCTTCAACTCCATATCTTACACATTCCACCCAAAAATAGCTATCCCCACCTATTCCCCCACTCCTTGCCCAACCCTCTCCCTCATTTTATCACCATCCACACACCCACTGTCGTTCCCCTATGACTCGGCGACCTTCACCACGCCGTCACCCGATGCATGCTCAAATCCAACCCCGCTGCTCATGCCTCGCGTCGTCGTTACGCGCAATGCGCTCCCGTTTCCCCTAGTCACACGCTCAGCCTGCCCTCACCTCTAAATGCGCATGACTACAATTCACCACCTCATCCACCGCCCCACTCCTCTCCGCTTTCAATCGCTTCTCAGCCTTCCTTTCCTTCCCTGCACCACCGCACTTCTCCAAGGATCGCCCATAACAAAGCCAACTTCACCCCTCTCACCATCCACATACTCCAGCCCTCCACTTCGCCCACCACATCCTCCCAAACCCACCAACCTCAACACGCCTCCAACCCCTGCCCCCCACAACAATCACGCCCACCTCCAACACCAACTCCACAACCACTCTGCACAACCGCTTCTCATACGTACGTCACCGTTGTCAGAGACTTCACAGCCATCGGAACCTTGCACGTCGCCTCCCTGCCATGCAATTCCACCGCACCCACGTTCCGCCCATACGGCCCCTCTGTCGCCACCGTGTACCCCTGTTCCACTTTCTGGCTTCCCTCCCGCTTCAACGACTCCTTCTTCTCCCCCGCTTCCGCTCTCGCGCTCCGCCTGCTCAACCCCTCCCCTTCAATGTGCCCCCCCTCGCCGTCCCGACCCCTTCCCACCCCTCGATCCCTGCTCAAGTCCCACCCGCCCCGCTCTGCGCCCTCTCCACCCAAAAGGCTTGACTCTCCGCTCATTGCCCCAATCCACGCTCCAATACCTTCTTGGCAG